ACCACCACTGAGGTATCACAAATTATTCATACAGCAAAGCTTGTGTTTGGAGAAGGTGGGAAACACTTTAGGGTCAGCTCATCTTAATATAAATTTAAACACCTTGGCTCTGGACTACAGATTAATAAAAAAAAGCATCGTGAGGTCATTTTAAGGAACAGCAATTTTTAGAGAGAATTGTTAGGGAGATGTGTGAGTGAGTGCTAAATTCACAAGTTAAGGGAATTATTTTCTCCAAAATGATATCCTTTTCATTTAATAAACTCACCACCATAAAACTGTGAGCCTATTGGTCTTTTTCAAGCACGACAACTATTTACAGAAAAAAATAGCACACATTTTTAATGGAAATCTGGAATCTGAGTCTATTGGATAATAAATCAAGCAAGCAAGCAAGCCCTCTCATCTAGTAGTTACACATTTTGGACCTGAAATGAGGCTACCATCTCTTCAACACTGGTCATGTTTAACTGGGTCTGGATACATTTTTTTGTTATTTAGACCAATTTGGCAAGGGCAGTTGAGTGCATACATTTTAAAAACCTCATTCAAAGCACATGAGACAGTTTTAGGCCACCTGTAGCTTTTTCTAGTGTTACTCAGGTATTCTGGAGGCAATTTGAAGTCTCTCCACAATACTATTATACTAGCACAATGAAGGTTGTTCATATGATTATAAAAACAATTTTACAAATCTTTATTTCTGAAGAAAACATTTTAAAGAAACATTTTATTGATTTACACAAGCAAGGTTACAAACATCCCCCCCCCCATATCTGGAAAATTTAGCTAGGATTAGAAATTTATAATGCACACTTGCTATACAACTATACCAAAACCAAAAACTGGACATTCTAATGCAAAAAATGTAGTGTATTACCTGTAATTATATATATATATATATTATATTTGTTCACGAAACATACAAGAATATATATATATCAAGCTGATGAAGGGAGGAGAACTTGTGGCTCAGAAGGTTAATTCAACTGCCTAACATGCAGGAAGCCCAAGTTCGAATCTGAGTAAGGGTATGGCTAGCTGATGAAAGCTAAAAAGCTTGAAATAGATCTATACTAGTCTCCCTTTATTTCTTTATCAGCAAAATATAAATTATATATATAAATTTTATATATATATATATATATATATATATATATATATATATATATATATATATATAAAATTTATATATATAATTTATATTTTGCTGATAAAGAAATAAAGGGAGACTAGTATATATATATATATATATATATGAATGATAGATAAATATATTTCATTTTTCATTTTTCTGAAAAACTAAGAAAAAATGTCATCATTGTGCTCAGGAAAAAAATTGGGGAAGGGCACCTCCAACTGATACCCTTTTCCAGACTTTCAGACTCATGGAAAGTCCTGGCAAAACACTTAAAGGAAGCTTCTCCAAGAGCCAAATATATATATATATTCCCAGTATTTCCTCCACAGGATAAATACAAACTGTTCAATGAGGCAATAGAAAACTTTGGCTATTGGCTTCTACTGATTATTTATTTTATTTATTTTATTTTATTAGATTTTTATACCGCCCTTCTCCCACTGGACTCAGGGCGGTGAACAGCCAAGAATAAAAACATCACTTACAAAATTTAAAATTATTTTTTAAAAAGAATTAAACAAATTTTGGCCCAATAAATTTAAAACACCCCAACTAAAATCAATTAACAATTAAAAATATCTAAGGGGGGGGGGTTAAGCCAGCCCGGCTTGATGAAATAAAAAAGTTTTAAGGATATGGCGAAAAGCACGGAGATCTGGGATCCTACGTATCTCCGGGGGCAGGTCGTTCCAGAGGACAGGTGCTGCCACAGAGAAGGCCCTCCTCCTGGGGGTTGCCAGCCGACATTGTCTGGCCGACAGCACCCTAAGGAGTCCCTCTCTGTGGGAGCGTACTGGCCGGTGGGAGGCTATATTTTGCTGAATGGCATCACTGAAATTCCAACTATTTTAAATAAGATAAGTTCAGTCCTTTCTTCCTCAGCTCAGGAGCTTATCCCAATTAAAAAACATGAGCAGTGTTGTAAAAATAGTACATACCATATCACTTAAAATCAAAGACAATTTGTATTACTCTTCTTACACTGAATGCAACAGATTCTCTTTAACTTCTTTAAAATGTGAGAAAATGACTTGGGATGTGAATTTGATCAATCAGCTTTGAAGTGTGCATGATGTAACTATTAAACTGATTTTGGAAATTTATCACGAATTAGTTATAAGCTATACTATAGCCTTCAAATATACTAAGCAAACATTTTTCTAAATTTGTTGGAAAAGATAATTAAATTAATACATATTCCCATCGGTTAGCAATGGCCATTTACTTGTTCATTTTGGTTGAAAGTTTTTTTTTTTTTAAGGAAAACATGCCACTACTAAATTGGGCAATTATTGCTAACACAGCATTATTGTCCAGTTTTGTCAAATCATGTGAAATAGGACAAAGAATGCTGTAGTGGCCTAAAGGTGAAGATGCTCAATCAGAAGGTTGAGAGTTCAATAGGGCACAAAGAGAAAATGTCTGTAGGCATCAGGAAAGGCATCCACCCAGCTCAACTCCATTCAGTCCCCCTGATTCCACCCCGAATAAAGAGATTACAGGGTCATAAAAAGAAAGAAAAATGTAAAATAGGACAATAGAAGAAATTAATTTTTGTTTCTAGTGACTAGGATTATTACTGAAAAACACTGGAAAACTGTGTTGTTCTTCTAGTACAATTATATTTGAGGGTGTAGAAAATAGTATTGGTTGAAAAATTAAAACAGCACCAAATACAATTGGACAGTTCTTTAATTACAGATAATTTTAATTTCATTTGATCTTTATCTTTTAATTCATATTAGCAAACTTTTAATATAGGTAGTCCTTACAAGTATTTGTTTAGTACCATTTAAAGTTAGAACAGCACTGAAAAAAGTGACACATGATTGTTTTTCACACTTAAAACCATCGCAGTATCCCCATGGTCATGTGATCAAAATTTGCAGGCTTGGCAACTAGAATATATTTATGGTGGCTGCCATGTCCCAGGGTCATATGATCAGCTTTTGCAACCTGACAAGCAAAGTCAATGGGGAAGCTAGATTGATTTAACAACTGTGTTACTAATTTAACAACTGCTTGTGATTATATGTGACTCATTTAACAACTGTGATAAGAAAGATCGTAGCATGGGGTAAAACTCACTTAACAACTGTCTTGCTAAACAACAGGTTTTGGGCTCAATTGTGATCGTAAGTCAAGGACTAGTACATTAATTGTGCTACATGAAACTTATGGGGTAGATATAAGGAAAATGATTTTTTAAAAATTGAATTTTTGCTTTTGTAAAATTTGTTTTACTTTGTTCTTTTATATTTTCTGTTTGAACATTTTATATTTTATATTAAAAATATTTTCAATTATTTTTATTTTTAAATAAAATTTAACAGTAAAATAATAAAATAAAATAAAATAAAATGTTTCACTTCCCCTTTCCCACACATGGCTTCTAAAAGTTGTCCTGTCTGAACTGTTGCCTACCTAGATGGTAGCTTCTATTTTGATTTTATCTTTCTTCTTTCTCCCCTTCCCTTACAAGCACAAAGTACAGAGATGATTTACAGTTTATGAATGTAAGAGAAGAGTAGGATGCTTATCCTTTTGATTGTAATGGTATCTCATCAAAAGAAGAATGGGGGATAGAGACTATAATAGTGAGCAGGAAGTTGTTCAGAGGAGAGAAGAAAAAGGGAAAATAATTCTCAAAGCAATGTAAAAATGGAAGCATAACCTCTCACCACATTATGAATTAAAAACAGCTTTGTAAAAGCAAGAGAAAATGAGGATGAATTTCTAATACTGCACTTTCAGGAAGGACAATTGGCTATAGTTGCCTCATTCTTTCAGTAGCCCTAGATCCCTGATCCACCAGTCATTAATGGGATCTGCTGCTCAGCTCACTTTTACTTTACAAGCCTCATTCTCCAACACAAATTCTTGCTTTCCTAATGTGATATGAATCTGGTATTTTTTTTCTTTTAGAAGAGATATATTCAGGTTTTGTGACTCATGTTTGGAAGCTTTTCTTTGTCTCACTGACCCGAGTCTCCACTTCAGTTGGATTTTCCCGATGGAGGGTTGGAAGTGCAGTATGTTGGCCCTCTTCCTTGCCCAGTGCAAACTGCTTGAGGCAGCCCAGTCTGCTGCTCTATAGAGACAGTTGGAATTAGTTTGTGTTCTGATATTCTATCAGTGAGATTCTGTTTATTTGGTTCCACCTGAAAGGTCCTCTCAAAGCATGGTTTTGTTAAATCAGTTTCAGATGCTCTTGGAACCCAACAAGGGGGCAGCATGCTGGATGTCACCTGATCTGAAAAACTAATTGGTTTCTTAGCCTGATCCATAGGAGGCAATAGGGAATGGTTGGGTTCCAGAAAATCTATGTCTGTAAAGCTGCCCACCTCTTCATAGACAGGCTCTGACTCAGCTGGCTCCTGCTGTTCTGTATCTTGATGCATTTTCATTGGCTGTAAGGGGGTCAAGATAGAAAGTGTGAGATTTGTTCTTTGGGCTTGAGGGAAAAAAGATTCTGTGTTCATGATGGGCTGCTTTGACTTTGGGGCTTCAATTGAGGATCTTATTGTCCAGGGTTAGCCAAACAGGCCACTCAGAGATCTATGCATAGGCTTGAGTTAGACAGTATGAACACTTGGGATCAACCCAGTGGTGAAATCCATTTTTTTTTTACTACTGGTTCTGTGGGTGTGGTTTGGTGGGAGTGGCAGAGGAAGGATAGTGCAAAATCCCCATTCCCACCCCACTCTGGGGCCAGCCAGAGGTGGTATCTGAACTGCTCAAAATTTCTGCTACCGGTTCTCCAGAACCTGTCAGAACCCTGGATCAACCCAAACTAATAAAAATGTTTGTTTGGCCTTGTGCTTTGGAGATCAACTAATAATTACTTTTTGTGTTTTAGGTTCTAACTAAAGGCCTCAGCGCTTTTTGAAAGATTTTTGACTTGAAGGCAAGTCAGAATGTTCTTGGGAGCTGGGCTTCAAGTCAGTCTTGGTTCCTAGCAACTGCCTGGGGATATCCTTTTTGGCAAGTTTTCAGGAGTGGTTTGTTTGTGTAATCATTCTCTATTTAAATATTTTCATCTTAAGTCATATTAAAAAAATACAATTTTGTAGCCATTTTTTGAGATGCTCTAGGAATTGCACCCAAAATGTCTACAGTTGTTTGTAGCTCAGGGATATCCAGTTGTGCACTTCTGCTTTAAGAGCTGCCTTCATAGGCCCAACATTTAATGTAAGAATTTATATGGAATTTTAAATATACTGAACTATGGCTTTAACAAATCAACAAATACTTACAAAGAACATGGACAATATCCTTCGAGTGTGTAAGCGATGCTGAATGCAAAAGAAAAAAAAAGTAGACAGATGAAGCTGTAACAATTTCACAGAAAAACAGGAAAATAAAAATTAGGACAATCTGGAGAGTTTGTGCACATAGTTCTTGCAAGAAAGATAGATAACCTATCCTTTGTGAAGAAGTCATCCAGCCATCTAGGCAAAGGGAAGGTTATGCAACAGATGCATTGAAAAGTGAAATCTATGTCACATCTATTGGTCAGAAAGGGCCTGCTTTAAAGGAATAAATGCTTATTATCAACTAGGTTCTTGCTTCATGGGCAGTGGATGGTGGGGGTACTGATGGATAAGGAGTATTTATTATTTATTAAGGTGGAACATAAAAACGTAGTGTTCCTGCCAATGACTATTAGGATAATGCAACAGTTTGCATACTGACTTAATACATGAATTTCGTATTATGTCATACAATAAAGTGATGCTCCTCGAGCCCACATAAACTCAAAATGACTGCATGATATAAATAAAATGTATGCCCTGTGTGCTTTGTAATTCATTCTTGTTTCAAAAGTTTGGCTTCCAAATGGAACCTTACCAAGGTTTGATTAACAGAGAGCATGACTGGATTACTGCTGTCTCCATGTAGGGAAATCAGAGGCATGGTGCCAAACTTAGGCTTAGTCAAGTCAGAAGAAGAGCGTCGACGTACATGAACTGGGCAGATTCTGTCATGCTACATGAAAGGCAGGAAATAATTATTTAGTGATAGTAACATTAACAGCATGACTTGTTTATCCATTTCCTCTTCTCATGCACATATTTATAGTGTTAGTGTATGGAGATTGCCCACTTGAGTTCTGGATTTTATAAATAGTCCTTAAATAATTTTAAACGTCAACCAAGGTTATCCATCAATTCAGGGTGCAGTATCATCAGTACACTCTCTGTCAAAAGGCTACATAATCTAACATAAATTTTTCTGCAATCATATATTATTTAAAAAACCTAAGTTATAATATAATTTTGAATTAACTATGTATTTCTCAATGTTTAATCAATACACTATATTAAAAGAGCATCAGCATCAGCAGCTGCAACTGAAGGAAAAAGAGATTTACTACCTTTGTATATTTTTACACTAACTGTGATTATATATCATATGTGTGTGTGTGTACACACACATACATACACACACATATGTATACATACACATACATACTGTACATACATACATACAGTGGTACCTTGATACTCACTGTTAATTGGTTCTGGGAGGCATGATGGACACTAAAAATGAGTATCAAACAATTTTTTCTCATAAGAAACAATATAAATAAATGTAATGCATTCCCGAACCAAAAATGCACATTTTAAGGCAATAAGTAAAAAAATAGGGTTGTATATCATTACTTTACATGAGAAATAAGCCTAAAAATTAATAAATATTGTACTTAGATTGAATAAAATAAAAACTTCACTTTTTCTGTACTGAGAAGAGGCCATGTCCTAATGAGATTGCCCTGTTCCAATCCACATGCACAAACCCATGGGGAGGTTTAAAGACTTTATTAAGACAGGTCACACTTGCACCAACTGCAAAGTTCCCCTGAGTCCAAGTCTGCTCAGCCTAAGTGTAGGGTTATAAAGTCTACAGGCAAAGGCACAAATCTGCAAGTCCACACACACACAAGCACAATCCAGAGTCTACACATGACATATCCAAGTCAAGGTACAAAGTCCAAAAAGCAAATCTGAAGTCCAAACATGCAGCCACATGAAGCACAGATCTGAAGTCACAAAAACTGGAGTCACAGAGTTGGAGCACACGCAAGGCAGAGAATACAGACAATTGATTTGACATCACGTTGCTCCATATGTTGGGCTAAACAGGTGTGCACCAGTGTAACTCACTAGGAGAGACAAGGCTGCTGCCTCATGAGTAGCCCTGCTGACTCCCTTGTGCCTCTCTCTGTTCAGCCCCTATGTGTTCTAGGATCTGGGGGAGGAAACAATTCCTTCTCATCCATGCTGACTTTCCACCCTGTGTTTCTGACTGGGTCTCTGAGCCTCTAGTACAGCTGCATCTCTCCCCTCTCCAGCCAGGCACTCATCTGGTCATTCCTCTGATGGCCCCTCCAAGGTTCCTGGCCTCTCTTCTTTCTCTGACCCGTTCACTCCCTTGGTGTCTTCCTGATATTCCCCTGAGCTCTACTCTGAAGTCTCTTCATCTAGGGAAGCCATTACAGGGATGGTAGGAGAAGAGCAATGAGGAGGAGAGGTTGCATGTAGGGTTGCTTGGAAGGAGAGTCCTGCTCCAATAGACTATTGGGCACTTGCACTTCAGGTATTCTTTCTCTTTTCTGCCTTTTTTCAACTTGCATCACAGGCTCTGACACACTCTTTGTCAGCTTCACTAAAAACTTATCCAATGAGGACTGTTTGTCTTCTTTTCAGAATTCCTCGAAAGTGTGAAATTGTTTGGTCATTGAATAAATTCACATTTTTACTTGTCAGAGTTTTGTCCAGATGGTACTTCTCCACAGTTTTGAACTTCTGTCCATTTTCCACACGTTTCTTAAATCAAGGAAATAGGGATATCCTCTCTTATCTCCTTCTCCCCTGAAGAAATTTCTTTAGTCACCTCTTGTTGCTTCTCCTGTAGTTCCTGCAGCTTCTCTGTGCTTCATGGATTAATTCATCAACAGCCTTTTTATTAGTATTTGCTGCCTTGCCATGCCTCACAATACTATGGATGCCAGTCTTTTTTTTTTTTTTTTAAATTATCAAACAACCATGCTTGGCTTTAAAAACTTCAACACTTGCAACTCTGTCCCAATTTGTTTTCGAAAGATCGACATACAACACTTTTTGCTTTTTCACATATCATGCCTTTTGACACACTGTCACCTGCTAACTGCTTCTCATTTACCTAAATTAACATCACTTTTTCAACTTCCTTGAATGTTTGGGAATGTTCCTTTATTACTGCTTTAACTCATTTCCTAACATCAGCCTTTTTAATTGCTTCTTTATTCTTAATAATGGTGGAGACTGTTATTTTAGGCATATTGTATTTCCTAGCAAGATCACTAATGTGAATATCACTCTCATATTTGCCTATTATTTCTTTTCTCTTTTTTTGCTCAGTGGTGATGCAAAGTAATTTTCTTTTATGCTCAGTGCTATCAGTGTAATTTTGTGTAATCAAACAACAAATGAGAAACCCCAACTAAAAGAAGAAGATTGCAACCAAACTGAACATAGTAAGGAACAATTAACTAATAAAGAAAATTAACCATAATTCATGATTATGAATCAAAATTCATAATCTTCCCTTGGAAGAAAGTGGAAAGACACCAAGAGAAGGGACATCATAAAGTACACCAATGATAGGAAAAAGTATATCGATAGGAAGAAAAGTATGATAGAAAAAGAGTAGATCAGACTTCCACAAGAAAAAAAAGGCATGTATTGGTGATAGGAGGCTTACTACTCAGGGAAATTAACCCAGCAATTTGTAGACTGAACAATCTTCCTAGGGAGGTTTGCTGTCTCTCAGGAGCAAAGATCAAAGATGTGACTGAGAGGCTTACTAAAATAATTAAGTAAACAGATTGTTACCCCTGTTCCTTCTTTCATATGTAGACAAATAAAATGACAAAGATCTGTTGAGAGAAAGTTGGAACTTTGGATTCCTAGACCACTGTCTACAATACCTATAATTGGTTAATCCAACTGGCTGGCCTTATCTGAAGGGCTTTAAACTAAAACAGGGAGGGAGGAGGCAGACCAATTTTTAGATAAATCTCAAGGCAACCAACCAAGTAGCGAGAAAGAAGGGGAACTCAGATATAACACAGGAGATGTAGATAGCAAACACAAGATCAGTCAAAAAGGATTCAAATGACTATAGACTAATGCTCAAAGTATGAGGAGCAAACACGATGAACTTGAAATCCAAGTACATGACGCATATATGATATTATTGCCATTACTGAAACTTGGTGGGATGAAACCCATGACTGGAATGTACAGGTAGAGAAATTCAGATTGTTGAAAAGAAACAAGCCTAATAAAAGAGAAGGTGGAGTTGCATTATATATAAAAAATAGTTACACCTCTATGGAAATGCAAAAAACCACCCAAAAACCCAAAGATGAAAACCTTCTTCAATGCATTTGTGTTAATATAAAAAAAGAATGACATTATCATAGGTGTATACCACTGACCACCTAACCAAATAAAAGAAATAGAACTTTTAGCTAATGTGTGCATGAAGCACACTACAATATATTGGGGGACTTGAACTATCAACTGGGAGACAAACTCTGCATCTACTGGGAGATCAAATATGTTCCTTATGAATTAGAATAGGGGTGTTAAACTCTCGGCCCATGGGCCAGATGCATCACGTGCTGCCCCCGCCCAGTTTAGCATAGGGGAAAAAAGTCCCAATATGTCATGTGACGCCGCCGTGACAATGTGAGTTTGACAATCCTGAACTAGAAGGTTTGCTATACTGGATTTAATTCTCACTAACAGATGAAATGATAGAGAGGGTGTTGAAGTTACAGGAACCTTGGGGGAGAGTGACCATGAGCCAGGCTAAGATTCGATATTGGGATAAAACTCAAATATTAGAAATCCAAATCTTTGGTCAAGACAGAAGTGCCTCTTCCGTGCCAAGGTGCTGAGATGACAAACGGTATTTGACGTAGGTACAGAATTGTAAAAGGGCAAACTGACCCTAAACAGATACATCCTGTTGTTTAATGTTTATTACACCCCAAATGTCATGTAGATTCTAGAGAAGAAATACTGCTTTCCTTACTGTCCTCTTTACTGCTTGTGAGACGCCTTTGAGCCCCTTATCTCCTTTTTATTATGTCTTGAGCTCCGGAGCTGAGAACCTGAGCCTGTGGGAAAAGGGCTGTTATGTCTTTCCTAGAGATAGATTAAAGGGTAACCTCTACGTGTGAAATGTCTCACTCTTCGTAATAACTTTGTCTTTATACTGTATAAATATCTGGCCAAAAGCGGCCATCATTGTTCAGACCCTTGGCTGTCTTTGGACTGTTTGAACCTTGCGCAATAAACTCTTTCCTGCATTGAAGAGCTTGGCCTAGTTCCGTCATTTCTCCTACAACAGCTGGCGACTCCGCCGGGACTAGGTGCAAGGCGATATTTCGCTGAGGGCCGTTTCGACCCCTCAGGACCATCGGGAGGTCGCTCCTGAACATTCTCCAGGCGCCGCGGAGATACGTCTCCGGGAGGCAGCAGCGATAGCCCTATGGGACCAACGGAGCTCTGATCGAGTCCAAGAACCCTGCGGTGCAGGAAAGGTGGTCTGAACAAATTCCTGACCAGGAATCTACGGAGTGGGAGCGTTTTTAAGTGAGTATATTGTAAAAGAATTGTACCTGCCTCATTTGAAGGCAGAAGGAGGGACTTGATCACTCCCTTGGACTCGGGGTGGCTACCCTAACGAAGTCCATGTCAGGTTGTGTGGGTGGTTAAGCCGTCGCATTTCTCGCTAGTGGCCGTGAAGTTCCGGGGCTACGAGTCGGCGGCAGTGTGATAGAATGGGAGGGGCTCAGAGCGTGCCAAATACTCCATTGGCATGCATGTTAAAAGGTTTTGACAAGTATTTTAGCAACCCTTCCTATCCGAAAGGATCAAAGGAGCGATTAAAATTTTTATTTAAGCCTTTTTTGGATTCAATCTAAAACCTGAAACTTTGCCATAGTCTTGTATAATGTCCTTCATCAAGATTATTGATTCCGTTGGTTGTGATAGGGTAACAACCAGATCATCTGCAAATGCCTTTATTCTGTAATCCTCTTGCCTAATCTTTATACCTTTCAAGATATTAGAATCCCGTATTGTATTTAGCAAGACTTCTAGTGTTAAAATAAATAAAAGTGGGGACAACGGACATCCCTGTCTTGTTCCTTTTTCAATTTTAAACTCTGTTGTCAGACTTCCATTAATTATGATCTGTGCCTTTTGCTCTTGGTAAATTGCCGAAATCGCCTGTATAAATTGATCCCCAAAGTCCATCTTTTTCAAAGTCTTTAATAGAAAATTCCAATCCACTCTATCAAAGGCCTTCTCTGCATCCAAAAAGACCAGCACTGCAGGGATCTGTTTATTCTTCTCAAGATATTCCAATAAATCTATTACTTGCCTTACATTGTCCTTCATATATCTGCCCTCGATAAATCCCGCTTGATCATCATGAATCACCTTTTGAATTACTGGCATCAACCTGTTGGCTAGTACTTTCGCAAAAATTTTATAATCTGTATTCAAAAGAGATATTGGTCTATAGTTCTCTGGTTTTTTAGGACCGATTTGTTCTTTTGGTATCAAAGATATGTAAGCTGTTGTCCATGATGGGGGTATTTTACCCCCTTGCTGAATATTGCAAAATAAATCTCTAAGTTGTTCCACCATTTCAGCTTGCAAAGTTTTGTAATACACTGCAGTCAAGCCATCCGTGCCAGGAGCTTTGGCTGTTTTTAACTGTTTAATTGCTACTATTATCTCCTCCTCTGTTATAGGATAATTCATTCTTTCCTTTTGTTGATCAGTAATTTTTGTAACTCTTTTATCATTTAAATATTTTTCTATAAGTCCATTCTGCACCTCCTCTTTAGCATATAATTTAGTATAATAGTCCACAAAAGCTTCTTTAATTAATTTTTGTTGAAAGATTTCTTTCCCTCCAATATCAATACTATCAATAGTCCGTATGCTTTGTTTTTTCCTCAATGTGTAAGCCAACCATCTGCCCGGTTTATTAGCGTTACAAAATGTGTTATGCTTCGCATATTGTAAATTTGTTGCAACTTGTTCCGCCATAAGCATTTGAAATTGGTCTTTCAAAAGTTTTATAGCACTACGTATTCTTTCATCTGTTGGATTTTTAATAAGTAACTGTTCTTTATTCTTTATTTCTATTTCCAGTTCAGATCTTTTCTTTTGTCGGAACAGTCTATGTTTAGAGTTCATGTAGATAAGTACCCCTCTCATATAAGCTTTACTTGCATCCCACACAATTTCAATTGGGGTACCTTTATTCAAATTTATTTCAAAAAATTCTTTCAAATGCTTTTTAAGTTCTGTTGTATTTTTTTCATATCTAAACAAATTCTCATTTAATCTCCAAGAACGTCTCTCAACCTTATCCATCTCAATTTCTATCCATACTGGGCTGTGGTCAGTCAAAGTTCTTGGAAAAATCTTTGTTCTTTTTGTCTTAACAAGTAAATCATCTGTCAACAAAATAAAGTCAATCCTAGAGAAGGATCTGTGTCTGTCAGAAAAAAAAGTATAGTCCAATTCTTTTGGATTATGTATTCTCCAAACATCTTTTAGTTCCATATCTTCTTTCATGTCAAAAAAGGTCTGTGGTAATCTGATTCTAGACTTTGCCAAACTCTTTTTATCTAATTTAGAGTCGATTACTCCATTCCAGTCTCCCATAATTAAAATAGGTCTGTAATCCCATTGCAATATTTTAGTATGTAACATCTTATAGAAATAGTCCTGTTGTTGATTGGGAGCATAAATCCCAATCAGAAGAATTTGGCCATTTGCTATAGACAATTCAATTGCTACAAACCTACCATCTTCATCTGTTTCTATAACTTTAGGTGTTAACTTTTTATTTACATAAATTACCACACCATTCTTTTTTTGCGAAGTTGAAGATATAAAATGTGTTCCTAGTTTGGAGTTTATCAAATATTTTTGATCTTGAGTTGTGATATGCGTTTCTTGTAAACAAATTATATCATTATTAAATTGTTTCAAATATGTAAATAATTTCTTCCTTTTCTGTGCTGAATTCAACCCATTAACATTCCAGGATAAACACTTAAGCATCATCAGCCTCTTTCTGGAGCAAAGAGCAAAATAATTGAAGATCATCCGAAAGCTTCGATCTCACTCCTCCCATAGCTCCAATCTCTTGTGCAGTACTCTTATCTGCCTCCTTGTCTTGTCTTTCCTGTTGTTGTTGTTGCTTTTGTTTAAGTAACTTAGCTTGAGCTCGAGTTATACGTTGATCCTTAACTTCAATCATCCGAACCGGGTCCAAGATTGGAGAAGATTCCAGCAAGGGCTCATCCAGAAAACCTCCTTCTGCACCTTGCACTTCTTCTAATTCCTGCTTAGACTGTTCTTGCAGTTCTCGTTGAGTTTGCTTCTCTTCACTCTCTTTAATCTCCAAAACTGTAGATGTACGTGGAGATGGTGTTCTTTCCTTGAGAATAGTAGTGTAGAAGTGCTGTGCCTTCTCCACGGTATTCAAACGGTATCTTTCTCCCTTGTATCTGAAAATTATGCCAACTGGTGCATCCCACCGGAAAGGTATCTGTAAATTTTGCAATTCCTTAACAAGAAAACCAAATTCTTTTCTAGCTTTCAGCATTTTAGGAGGCAATTCTTTATAAATTCCAATTCGTGAGCCCCCCACTTGTACAGAAGTGTAAAAGGATTTTTTGCAGGATATCGTTTCTTATTTCTCTATCTGTAAAGTATATGACCACGTCTCTAGGTAATTGTCTTTGTCTGGCCACCCAAGAGTTCACTCTGTAAGTTTTATCTATTTTGTGAAAAACCACATCTGGATTAACTTGTAAAATCTTAGTCAGGGCCTCAGAACAAACTTGTCTCAAATCCTGTCTTTCCTCCTCTCGAATTCCTCGAAGCCGTATAGCAAACTCCATTGCCCTGAATTGTATCATGACAATCTCGTTTTCAACTCTTTGCATTTTATTGTCAACATCAGCAATTTTATAATCATTGTCTTTCATCTTAACATTAACTTCTGATTTAAGTTCTTCAACTTTATAATCAACTTTCCCAATAAATTCTGCCAGGCCAGATACCACTTCTGATATTTTTTTGGTCACCTTGTTTTGATTCTGTTTCACCATATCTTTAACTTCATTAATTTCCTGCATAAACTCCTGATGTGATTTTTGAAGTTTATCATCTATCTCCTGATGTGATTTTTGAAGTTTATCATCTATCTCCTGTTGAGATTTTTGAAATTTATCATCCAAAGTTTTAGAAATAAATTCTTTTAAATCTCCCACATCAAATTCTTTTTTCTGAGTCTGTAACTGTTGAGCAGGGGGAAGCTGCGTTTCATGTTTGTGTGTGGGGGATCCCCCCCCTGTTACCTTCCCTTCCTGCTTCTTTGAAGCCATTCTGCCACGTAGGCTAGTTTTTCTGAAGAGGGAAGTTCCTTTTCCTTTCCCTCCTGCACAAAGACTTCTAAAAAAGTCCCCCAGATTTAGTCAAATAAAACTGAAGTAGAACAAAGTCAAATTTTTAGAAAAAGAAATTTTTTCTTTAGATAAAGCAACTTTGTAGCAGCTCTGTAGCTTTATAGCAAAGCAGGAAGGCTTCACAAATCCACTTTCACTAGCTCGTTAACTCAAATGCTGGGCGCCATATTTTTTCAAATCACTTTCACTCGTTCGCGGGGCGGCTCTACAGGCGGCGGGGCTGGCGGTCTTTAAAAAAAACACCGCCGTCGCCGAAGCTTGCAAACCGGAAGTCCAGTGGATAGAATATGTTCAGAACAAATATCAAACTAGAAAGTATCAAATAGCTTTTATTTGAAAATAATGTATTGGAAATATTTTAATGTAATGAGGTAAAGAGAAAAATTATACAGGGGAGGGAGGGGTTCAAGTTTATATATAAGTGTTATATTAAGGGTTTTTTATGAGTATGAATATATTATAGGGAAGTCTGGGGGGAGGGGAGGGTTAGGGAGGGTTAGGGAGGTTGGGAAGTTTGGGGGGGAGGCGGGGGGGGGAAAAGGGGTGAAAATGTAATTGTAAAACTTTTGCAATAAAAAAAATTTTTTTTTATTTAAGCATGTGTGGCCATTATTGGGGACAGGGTGGCCCCCTCAGGGATCACTAAGGGAGGAAACGGTGGATAAGTTGTGGGGGGTGATTGTAGTGAATCAGGATAAATATCTTGATCAATTTCAATACATTGATCAATGGGCGAGAGCCCTAACAGAAAAAGCTGAAGATTTGCTGCTGTGTCAGGCTGAAATGGTCAGGCTATGTGTATCCAGATCTG